GGTCGCCCAAGAGATCGAGCGCGGCGCCGCACCCCGGGAACCCATCGCCTCCACAATACCGGTGCGTGAGGGGCAGCGCGAGGCGCAGGCGCCGGCGCAAGGTGACGTGCATGTGCGCCGGGGGCAGCGTGGTGCCCGGGTCAGTCGGCACAGCCGCAAGCCAAGCCCCCGCATGCGGGCCAGACTGCGAGCGGAGACAAGGGCGGTCGCTCGGCCGCATTTGTGGCAGAAGCTCGGTCTCGCGAAGATGGGAGTTGAGTGCGCGAGACGCGAGAAGCTGCCAGCCATGCGGCCAATCGCCTGGTTCACTGTCATCCGCTACAGCGGGAGGGGCCGCGCGGGCAAGGACGGCGGCAGTTGCAGCGCGTGTGGCACACAAGAGACCAAGGCCGCCCTCGCGCGCTGGAAGCAAAGCAAGGCGGCGGGCATCCGGCCAAGCGGCGCCACGCTCGCCGAGGAGCGCTTGCAGTGTGCCCCAGACCGGCTCGTTGCTCTCACCAAGCCTTCAGGGCGGGTCAGGGGCATTGTTGTCAGTGATTTCTTCGCCGCCTCGTCGCACCAAGCCTGGCGCAGCAGTATGCCGCGCCCATCCAGGAAGCGTGCAGCCCGCATCAATTTGCTTTGTTTTTTCGCTCTGGCACCGTGCACGCCCTTTCTGTTGCAACCGAGCTTGACCCCACTGCCACCATCGTCTCCGCTGATGGGCCTTTGACACGATCTCTCGCACTGCCATGCTGCGTGGCTTGCAGTCTGTCCCTGGCGCCAATGTTTGCCTGCATTTCGTGCGTCTCTTCTACACCACCCGGTCGGAGTTTGTGTGGCATGACGCTGATGGCATCCCCCATGCGGCGTTACTTACCGTGAGATCCTTCGCTCCGTGCCAGCTGACTTGCAAGCCTCTTGTGCGGTTTGTTGGCAAGGTCATCCACCGGAAATTTTCTTGCCCGGGGGTCCAGCTGCTCATGCCTGCTTCGGAACAGTTGCTCGCCGAAGGTAGTGCCGGAACCACAGCAACCAACACATCCGGGCCCGCCGGGGCAACAGCCGCAGCCACAGTCACCCACGTTGGCCAGGCCCGTAACCCCTGGTATTCGCGAGGGCCCCCAGCCACTAGTGCACACACGCCAGCAGGCGCGAACAGCTGGTTGTTTGTCCTCTTGCTTCAGGCTGCAGCGAGGAACTTGCGCAGGGAAGCGTCGCACCAGTGGGAGGCGCACGCAAACTTTGGGCAGGTTTGGCGCGAAGCACTTCTGAGCCTCCGATGCGCAGGTCCACCAAGCCGCCCTGCCCAGTGTGCTCCAAGCAGCCTGCGCATCACTCCTTGCAGAGTCGTCAGTGTTAAATCCGGCTTTAAAAAAAAAATAAAAAAAAAAGAGGAAAAAAAAAGAAGAAAAAAAAAGGAAAAAAAAACTGCTTCTTAACTGCCAGCGCCTTGGGATGCCGCAAACACGAGTGCAGCCACATCAGCACCAGCCGTAGCACCCGTCGCACGCAACGCACGCCCTGCCAGTGGTGCCGTCCAGAATGGGGGCAAAAACCAGCGCGGCCCCGTAGCAGTAGTTCACACAGCGGCGGAGGAGCCAGCCGCCATCGCCGAAGTCGCTCCGGCCGACGCAGCAGCAGCAGCAGCAGCCGCAGCAGCCGCAGCAACCGCAGCAACCGCAGCAGCAGCAGCAGCAGCAGCAACCACGGCTGCGGCAACAGCGCCCATGCCAGCCATAGCCGGAGCCGTCAGGGCAACCTACCAAAAAATGATGCCAGCGCGCCAGCTGCGCGTGCAGGTGCCCCTGACCAACCTGACCACACAGCAAGCAGCCAGCCCCCAGCCAAGTCCGTCGGCAGTTCCAACTTGCCTTGCAGGCACTCGACTCTGTCGACTTAACCGCTACTCTGCAGCGCAAAGCCTGTACGTTCCAGTTCGTCCCGCCGATTGATCGTGGGCCTGTCCGCAAGTGCTGTGCTTGACCACTGCGCTGTCAGCTGTGCTTGAGGCTGCAGCAACGAGGTCGCAGCCATGCGTGCTTGGAAACTGTGGTTCTTGCTGCCCAGGATGTTGTTGCACAGGGAGCCTGGAAGGAACATTGCCCAAACGAGATTGGGACGAGGATTTGCCGCATTGCACGTGGGCAGGTAGGAAACGCTGCTACACCAAGCAACTCCAACGGGTGCCCGCTTGCCCCCTGAGGGACAGCAAGGAAGACGCGGGAAGCAAAGGGGCCAGACTGGGACAAAGCGCGAGCGTGGGGCGGCACGTTGCCATCCCCTGGTCCGGTCTTCCGAGGGGTCCTCGGCGGGGGTGGGGGGGTGTGTGCGGCGGCCACGAGAACCAGTGGCTGGGATGTAGCCATCGGCAAGCGCGCACCTCCCTGGCAACGCTAGCCCACTCGAACCCAAGGTCATGGAGCCGTTGGCAAGCATCGCAGTAAGAACGCGCGGAAGGGGAATCGGCCTGAGGGGACTCAAGCTGAGGCAGGATAGTGGAGAACACGTCGGCCGGATTGCGAGGGAAGGCAAACAATCCGCCCAAGATGCCCTAAACGCGGGCGTGCTGCACAGCGCTGCGGTGGCGAAAAGCAAGGCTGGCAGCCGAGTCGGGCAGATAGTCCGTCTGCTCAAACTGCAGGAGGTTCGCCAAGCAGTGGAGGACGGAACAGTAGCGAACCCGCGTCTGCTCGGGGGACGTAGTGGGCACGCGCAGAAAAGGAACAACCAAGGTCAGGCCGGGGAGCTGGGAGAGAAAGGCTGCATGGTCCGCGCTGAAGGCAGCCAGGATTGTGCGGCACCGTCAGGGGGGACGGACAACCGGATGCCATCGAGAGCGACCAAAAGGGCACGGCGCAAAGGGCCTCGCAATAACTGCGGTGGAGCACGGAAGGCGGGGCATGGCTGACTGAGGACACATTCCGCATTGAAAGGGTCAAGAGCTGCGAAAGCTTGTTTTCCAAGGCACATCTTGCACTTTAAGGGCTGCTGCGCAGCCTCGCAAACGGGGGCGTCCGAGGAAAACTTGGAGCTCCGAATTGTTTAGGTCAGCGAAGCCAATAGCTGGGGGCCTCCAACGTTGCATGTGCCAGAAAAGCCAAATTTGTGGATCGATAAGGCATCCGCCTTGCCCGTGCGTCTTAGTCGCGACACGAGGCTATTGCAACAGAATGAATGAACGTCCATGGCGTGGACGGACCATGCCGACACAAGTGCTCAAACACCAGAATCTTCACAAGAACTTCCTACTAGGCCACATGCGTGCAAGTCAACTCATGCAGATCCAATTATTTGGGACAGCTTGACGTCCAAAGCTCAAAGCGTGACGCTGCGGCAAGACCAGGGTTACGGAACAGCCAGGAAGCTTGCAAATCACCAAGTGCCGGCAGCCGCTCCAGCAACTTGTCCTGACCCGCACGGGAGTGGTCCAGCTGGGGCGCACGATATGCCAGCGATCCAGCGTGCTCCCCTGCTCCAGCCAGAGAGGTCTCAGGCGCGGCTGCCGAGGGTGGGAACCAGTGCACTCAAGAGTGGGATTTGGCTATCTGGAGCGGTCGATATCCTCGTAAGGCTCGGATGGCCGGCGCGTCGCGAAGCTCAGCCAAGGTTGTCTCCCAGCAGGCCGGCCACAAGGGCGGAGCTGGCGGCCAACCGCTCGCCCAAGCGGACAGGGTCACTCAGTCGGCCCGTTGCTCGGCGCTGGGCGGCGCGCTGGGCGGCGCAGAAGCGGTTGGGGAAGCTTGGGGGCCAAGAAGCCCATCGGACATCCGTCCACGAAAGAAAGCTGAGGCGTGTTGGTCACGCGCACGCCGGCTACCTATCTACCTCGCATGGTCCCATCGCGCCAGAAGGAAGCTGTCGCTTCGGATCCACGCTCGTCGCCGCATCAGGTCAAACATCCCCTACCTCGCCTCACACCCACATCCGATTCAACGCTGGCAAACCCGTGTCTGGAACGTGGCGGCAGCCGGAATCCAGCAGATCTTTCAATGTTCACCACGATTGTGCTCCCTAGTCACCAACGCGGCTTGCGGAATGCAGCTGCAGTAGGGGTTGACCAGGGGTTGACCAACCCCGCGCAACAACGTCCTGGGCACAGTTTCCGAGCGCGGATAGCAGCAACCTCAGCCGACTCAACGCAGCTGAAGCGCTGTGGCCAAGCGCTGGCGACCAACTGAAACATTGGGGTTGGGTGCTGAACAAATCAATGGAGTCAGCGCTAGAACGGCCGAACCTACGGGGCTGGCTGCTGGCGCATCCCAACCTGTTGCGGCCACGTCGGCCAAAGTTTCAGACGGCTCGATGCTGCGGTCGCGGTCGCTGCGACGTTTCGTCATCCCGCGAAAGAAGCCTGGCCACGCCGCCTTGCGCCGCGTGACGGTGCTGGCCCTGCATGCCTTGGGGCGTGTTTGGTGCGAGCTTCACCGCTGCTCGACAAAAGGCCAAGGGGACGCCACGTTCTTCGGACAGAAAAGACCTTGTGGCATGCGTCGACGGAATTTCCATTGTTGCGACGTATTCGACAGTGCGCGTACAACTGGTCTGCAAAGTTGCTGGTATGCACCATATTAGCCAAACGTTGGCTGAACGGCGCGCCCTGAGGCGTTTGAAGGTCAAACGACGGAATGGGGCGCTCCCATTCATTCAGGTTTTGAAGTAGAGGCAGTGAGTCGTGTGGATTGGCAGATTTGGGAGCAAGGCGCCCAATAAGCAAAGGTGTCGTCCTTCAAGTCCGGTGAAACTTGTACATTCCATGTGCACCTTCGTCACCTTCGGAGCTCTTCCAGTCTCGGGTCCGCAGGCCTCTCGGCTTTTCCTCGAGCCACGTGGAGCCGCGCGAAGCAAGCGAAAAATACGAACATCCTCCGCCGCGAGGCGACCAGCCGTGGATGTTCCAAGGATTCACACACGCGTGACAGCCTCAAGAGAAGAATCAGCTGCAAACAAATAAAAGACTGAGCAAGGCGTGCGAAACAGCTTCGGCCTAATCTCGCAACTGGCTTCAAAACTGGCCACGCTCAGAGCTCGTCGACAACCTAAGATGCAAGCTCCTCAAAACGCCGGCTGGCCCGGCTGAACCGGCTGACCACGGCGACGCAATGGCCAAAAGCATGTTCCATGCCGAGCCGCTTTGATCGGCAACTCGCGCACCTCCTCCTTCTCCAGCTTGCACTTAAGCACCTGGCTGCAATCTGCCATCTGCTGAGCTTCTCTCGCTATCTCCGACGCATCCAAGGCTCCGGCCCAGCCATCCTGCGCCTCATCATGCCTGAAGTCAACATCTGCGGTTGACCAGCCTCGTCGCCTTATTCAAAGCTGGGGCCCCCCGCTTGCAAGAGTCCGCCGAAACGGTCACCGGCAGCTTCACCTTAAGGCGAGACATCGGTGCACATGGCGCGGGGGCTCGCGCATACACTTGCCTTGCTGATGGGAGACGCAGCCTCAGTTCTTGCACAACCCTTTCATCTGCAGCAAGTTCATTGGTACCGCACCTCTCCGGCACCTGCGAGCAGTGTTCAGCTTGGAACAAATCTGTAAACAGTTTGCTTGCTTCGGGATGCTGTGCATCATGTCGCCTGCAATATTTGCAAAGTGACGTTTCTCACCCCTCCGCATCCAAAGTACATCTAACAACACAGGAGGCCATTCAAGTGGTGCTGGGCTGTCTGCGAACTTCTTATCACACTGGCACAGGCACGCTGCAAGCAACAAGGAGGGTGGATGCCGATCACCAGCACTGTTCCAGCAGCTCGGGGCAAAATTCAGGGTACAGCTCACCTCAACATCAAATCAACACCCGGATCTCCCACCACCTCCCCTGCCCGCATCGCCATCTTCCCGCATCGCTTCGGTTCTCTTCGGTTCGCTTCGGTTCGGCCGCCTTCGCTCTCCGTCGCATTGAAGACGAGGACCTCGCTGCCACTCGCCGTGGCGCGGGTGTTTTGGGGCATCGCCACCTCGATGAACTGCTCGCCTGGCGTCGAGCAGCTCCCAAAACCGAAGGGACTTGAAGGTGTCGGGTGTGTCTTCTTCCCTCTTGGTTTGGAGCCCGGCTTGGAGGTCTTGGTTTCCTTACGCCTTCCCTTTTTATCAAAAAGAGGGCTCCCTCATTTTGAAACGGCGAAAACTCGGCGCAGCTTCGCATCGCCTTCGCTCTCGCCAGAAAGCTTCCAGTACGGCAGTCCTGTCGCCGGAGCTCGTTGGATCCAGTTCAGTGTGACATCTGAGCCAAGCCCGCTCCAGCCCGCGAAGTCTGAGATGTGTTTGACACCTGGCGTCCGCAGCCAACAAGAAGGCTCAACACGTTTGCCATGGCCTCCGTGCCACTAGCGGCACTGGCGGCACTGGCGGCACTGGCGGCACTGGCGGCACTGGCGGCACTGGCGGCGGGGTCCGGGGACGCAGTCGTCTCCGTCTCCGCATCGGCGGGTTTCGCCACCGTGACGTTCCTGGACTTCTGGGAGGCTCACGCCCAAAACTCGATGCGCACAGCAAGAAAGTAAGAAAGTGAAAGGAAAATTCAGAAAATAGAAAGGAGCTGCCAGTTGAGCTGCGCTTGCTCCGCGATCTTGTAGACCTAAGTCCGGGCCGCCGGAAGCTTCGCTCGATGCACTCGGGGGCCGGGCAGCGAAGCGCTTCTCCCCAGCAGCACAGTGGGGGCTGGGAAAGCCTCTTCCAGCCTGAGCCGCGGATGGTTTCAGCTGGGCACCAGACGCGCGCCGCGCAAAGCGCGCCGCGCAACGCGCGCCTCGTTGGCGCAGCCGCACCATCGCTCCTCTTCGTCTTGGCAGGGCGCGCCGCAGCCGTCGTAGACACCCCACTGAGGCACCTGGTACAAACAGACACAAGCACATGGTGGGATGGTGAGCGCTCGAAAGCCCAAATCAAAAAATGTCGTGTCAAGAGCATCTTCGATTCCTTTTCGGCGCTCGTTGCCTCGTTCTCATGGAGGAAGCCCGCTGCTGTGAAGGCATGACCCACGGGCGCCTGGCAAGACCAAAAAGACGGAATAGAGAACCTCCCCGTTCGAACCCATCTCAGGCCCAAGCCGAGTGTCGGGCCATAGCGAAGTAGGGCACCTGCATTCCAGGCATCCGGCCCACCCTCCCTTTCGCCAAACAACCCGCGGCGCGCGCGGCCGCGGCGCCACTTTTTCCATCCGCGGGCTCGGGATCCAGCGCGAAGCGCCTGCTGCGAACGAGTCAAGCAGCAAAGGATGCGGAACAACGGCCACGCCTCAATGCCTTCCATCGCAACACAGCTGGATCTGGAGAGCCCACCTCAGATCACGTGGCCTGGTGTCAAGAGTTGGCGTGGCTTGAGCGCCCCGGCTCCTCTGCCGCAACGGGCTGGCTGCAGCGAAAAATGCGCCTGGCGCAAGGAACAACAAACATACGCAGAAACACAGCTAGAGACAGAAACAGAGACAAATGGCAGAGATAGCAGAGACACCGCATGAAACACAAACAGAGATGAAAGAGACATAGTGACATAGGCATAACACCAGCCACAGAGACACAAACAGAGACACAGCTGAAGACACAGACAGAGACACGGATAAGATAGAGAGGGAAAAAAGGAGGTTGCACCAAGCCCACCCGGCAGCCCTGGCACCGCCTGCCATTCCGCAATTGGAGGTGGACTTCAGATCCATGTGCTGCGACATCCAGGACCTTGAGTCTTGCGAAACAAACATCTGACGAGCCATGAGAGTGCAACCATGTGTTTTGATCCGTGGCAACCCTTCGCCCGGCCTCCTGAAGACAAAAGGACTCCGTGGGGTACGGCGCCGGCGCACGCTTCTGGCCGGAGTGAGCTGTCAATTACCCGGCTCTGCTGACTGAAGGCTGAAGGCGTCGTGCAATTCTCCGTGCCACCTTGAAGCTCAGGTAGCTCCGGGTGAGGACGGCCCACCTGAGCGTGCTGAAACCCGGGCAAGCCCGAAACACCCGGCCACGCGGCCCCGCACCCCGCCCGCAACCCGCTGGGCCGCAACCGGCCTGAGTCACTGAGGCGGCGGCCGGTCACGCCAAAATCCCAAGTGACGTGAGCATTTGCTCACCATCCCGGCGTGGACCGCCGCCTCGAGCTCCGTCCTGGAACCGAATGACGATGGGCCCCAGCATGCCATGCACTAAACTCGTGCCATGCCTCACGGATCCCAGTAAATAAGGAAATACCTCCCATACTACGAAATGCTTGCCACGCCAAGTGACATGGCTCTGGAAAGTGCCTGAGGCCCCTAGATCACTGACGCATCAGCGGCATTGACCATCCAAAATCAGTCGCGGGAGCAAGGTACTGGATCAGGCGTGAAGCACATGCAGCCCAGTCTTCGTTTGTCGCAAGAAAACAAAAAGAACTGCCAAAAGAGTGAGATGAACACTAAGAATATAGGAGTCCTACCACTCAATAACAAATCATGACTAAAAATTGAGCAGACATAACAAGAATGGGAGCTTTCCATCAGCCACAAGGACGAGGCTCTGGAGGCCGCAGCAGCGCTCCCAGCAGCAGAAGCTGCGACTCGTGCGGCCCAGGTGGCCAACGCGAGGCGCCTGTCGAGTCATCTTTCAAAGAATACTGTTCGGTGCTCCGTTCGGGGAATTCCCACAATAAAAACAAGGTGCCCGCAAAAAAAAAAACACGTCACGTGTCCACTGCAGGGTGAAACCCACAACCTCTTTTTCGGGAAGTTGCTCTTGTCGTATCAAACAAGACGTCGACTCAAAGGCCCACCTCGGCGCTCACAATGGAGCTGGTGTCGCTCTCTGCCTCCTCAGTCTCCTGTCTCTGGCAACGAGTGGAGTACCCACACTTTCAACAGCCACGGCCTCGTGCCTCTGCCGCCGGCTCCGGCAGTGGGCAACGAGACCTGAGGCTGGCGCTTCAGGCGCTCCAGGCGCTTCGCGAGGCGAGCTTCCCAGCGAGCCGTCGGGCGTCTCGGTTCGGGGTCTCGGCTCGGGGCTCTGGGGCCGCTGCACTCCCCGAGCTGAACCTCGCGCCGAGCACCACGTTCGGCGCGCACTCCGATGCGTCCATACGCGTTCAGAAATTCAGGGCCCCGCCAAAGGTGAGGAGCCGACTCCAGCTTCCCCTCGCGAACCACGTTGCGAGCGGCGTTGCGCAAATCGGTCCTTGCCTGGCATTCCATGCCTCGTGCCTGCACACTTGGCCCGACAGCGGGCCGATGCTGCTCACTTCATGCATCACAAGCAACGCGTCAAGCCTCTGCCCAACGTCTAAATGTCGCGGCAATGGCGGAAAGCCAGAAAGGCACGGGCTGTCAAAGTCAACAGCTCTTTGAATCTGACAGGAATGGACACGCTATGAAGCTGTCTTGAAGAGACATTGTCTTGTTCGCACAAGCTGCATGAGGCATTGCTTGTGTGGTTTTGCTGTGAAGCTCTTCGTGTCAGTGCATCGAGAGCTCTTCAGGGGAACCATTGCTCGAGTTGGCCGGGTGTCTTGAGACAGCTAAGCCTGCGCACAGGTCCCTTCTCCCCAACACGAAACGAGCAAGTGCTGGCCAGTTCGATGTCCAAGGCAGGCACATGATCATTCTGTGCGTGCCAGTACCTGTATTCGTTTTCCAAGGGGAGGCAAAAAACAAGCAAAAGGCGAGCCGGAGGACATGCCGAAGGACCGACACGCCGCTGGGCGCGCGCACATCGCCGCGAAGCTCGCGGCGTTGCCCTCGCCGTAGTACTTCAGGCGCACCTCTTGAAGTCGTCGGCCGAAGCGACGCCTCTTGACGCAAAATGCGAACACTCAACAAGAGTCAAACTGGCTGGTCAAAATTAGACCCTGGACTCGAACCTGCGATTTCGGTCTAAGAGGAAGCGCTCGGAGGAGCCTGCCCAAGTTGGGACTCCGCGAAGCAGCCGACCAGGTTCACCACGGCGTCCTTTGGAACTTTGGATCCGAGACAACTCAGAGACACGGCGCTGGGTCGGTCCTCTGGCACGTGGCTCACCATGGGGAGCTGGTTCCTGACATGCGTCCAACAGCAGTTCCATGTAGTGAGACTACTGTATTGAGCATAAGAATATAGCTGTGGGTCAAAAATATGTACCCAAAATGGAACCCTGGTAAGTGGAAACACGGACCAAAACCTGTGGTCCCCTGGTGGTTTAATTTTGACCCATACCCATATGATATCACGCATTAGTTATACATACCAGTGCCATCCACGCCTGGGGTGCATCTGATTCAGCTCGCCCAGGACCTGAGCGCGCAAGCCGGAAGCCGCCCGCCCTGCGTTTTGTCTCTTTGCGAGTGAGGCTCGTGCCTGGCCCAACACAGACTCCAGACCTACGGCGCACACAGTACCGCGAAGGCAGTCCCAATTCTGGGGATGTGGGTGGCTCACCCACTTTAAGATTTCGACCCCCAAAACGTGTGGTCGTCCTGTGGCTTTCAAAAAAACGACCAACCAATGCAGACCCCCAAAATGGTGGCGCTCGACGTCGACGGTTCTCTCCAAACCAACCACCCCGAAAAGGAATCCGCCCCTCCAAATGAATCCGCAAGCCGAGGCAGAGGCCCATGGGTCTGGTCGCCCGCAGGAAGCCTGCAGGCTGCGCCTGGCATAGACCCCGCGGAAAAAGCGGCGCGTGCTCGTGCCATGTGTGTGTGTGTGTGTGTGTGCCGCGAGCGCAACCAAATCTCAGGCGGCGCGGCTCTGAGCTTTTTCCACGCGAGATGCTTACAAGGCGCCATGTGTACAGCAGGCGGCTAAAATGTTGGAGCCTTGCGACGCAGGAACGACATCGAAGCCGGCCGCATCGAACCGTCGGAAGATCGTCGGAATGCTCCCAACCCTGGAAGGCTCGCTTGGGCATCCTAACGCAAACCCTCCCCTGAGGTTGGGCAAATTTGGTTTGCGCTTCAAACAATCAGACCCTCCCAACGGCAAGCCAACTGCAAAGCATTCAGCGCCCGGCCCGGGATCAGTTTCCTCACCTGGCGAAGCCGGCCGCAAGAAGAAGTCTCCGCGCACCGCGCACCGCCCTCCTCGCCAAGGTCGCGCCTGATCCTCAGGCCACTACTGCTGCACCGACACCTCGGCCGGCTCCTCGGCCTGCCAGCTTTCCGGGGTCCAGGCGAGGTGTCCTTTTTGAGGTTGAGGAAAAAAGCAAAAAAGAAGATCCCAAGTTGATCTCGTCTCCCCGTTTTTAAGACACTTGCTCTGGGACGGTTGTAAGATGTTGTAAGGCATGGGTTCTTCTTTCCCGGCCTCAGGTTTCACCTCCGCCTCAATTCTTGGGACTTCGGCGGGAGAACCTCGCGGCGAAGTCAAAGGACACGGCCACGGGCCACGTTTGCGGCAGCGCGTGTCGCATCGGCCTGCTGACGAGCCATCCTTTACACCCTCTTCTCCACCTTCGAAGCTCAGCGCTTGAGAGGGATGGATGAGTCTTGCAGCCTTTGGCCCCGCCGGTGGGTTTCTGTCCCAGGGCCCTGGCTGGTTGGAGAGGCCTCGGGCTCAAGCTCAAATCCCGAAAGGGATTGCCGATGCGGCTGGACACCCCAGGGCCCCACCCCAGTCGGGATGGTAATCGGCATGCCTCGCGAGCACTGAGTCGTGTCGACTCGAGTCAACTCGTGCGCAGGCTCGAGGCAGGCTATGGCAGCTCAAGACACTCACACGCCTGCATCAGGCTTCGGTTCCTCCAAAATCAGAGATCCCCCACTTCCTCTACCATCCCCGGACCCTGAAGACCCCAAAGCCCACAGGTGACAAAGGCCCTGCAACGCCACCAAATCACCGGCTGTCCTTGGGCGAGTCCAAATCCACGGCAGAGCGTGGGATGAAGACTGGCGCCTCTGCTCGCAGTGGCTTTGTGCTCGGCAACTTGCATGCCCCATGCTCCACATGCTGGCCATGTGTTCGATATGGAAAGGCCAGTGCCTCCGCATTGAAAGTGGTGGCAGCCTCGGCTCAACATCAGCAAGGCACAGGCCGGAGGCGCCGAAAAAAAACGCATCCCGGCCTTCTCGAGCATCAAGCGGACCTCCTCTTGGCTGGGCAAGTCTCCATCCTGCATCGAGTCAGACTTGGCTCGTCGTGAGGCGTCGCAGCATCGACCTGTCCTTCTTGGCGCCTTTCTTCCTGAAGCCATCGTCCCACTTCCCCACTTCCCCCCTTCCCCGCTTCGCCCCTTCCCGTCAATTCGCACCCCCTTCTTCCCCCCCCCAAAAAAAACAACCGAGAACCGCCAGCCGAGCTCTCGGCGGCACCGGCGCAGCCGCTAAGCCTGATGGACTTGCGGCCTAGCCTTGCTCTGTCTCTGTCTCTCCGAAGCGCCTGGAGGCGCAGAGCCAGCCAAGTTGGGGAAAAGCTGCGCCGCCTCGACACAGGGACGCACGGAGCTCTGGGAAGATGGGACCGGACTGACTCGGAGACTCACCGACACCGCCCGTTTGAGGAACCTGTGAATCGCCTCGCCTGTTGCTCCAGCTGTGTGAGCCGCTCCGTGAGGGCATCCAAGGCACGCTGCTTCGCCTCGAAAAGCGGCGGTTTTCAGGGTGGCCAGCTTGGCTTTGTGATAAAACGGAGTCCCAAGCTCCATGCCAGCTAGACGATTACCGCGGCTCACGAATCCTGGGTCCCAGACTTGCCCTGCCCGCAACATGCGATCCACCTTCTCAATCTGCGCATCCACCTGCCGAAAAGAGAAAACAACCTACCAAACAAGATCAAAAGAACAAGAAAGATAACAAAGAGAGAAACCCAAAAAAAAAAACGCCACGCCCCATCCGCCCCAACCGCCGCAACCGCAACCCAAGCGCCGCAGCCGTCCCATCGCCTGCTCCGCCTTCGGTGCCGGCTGGGCATCCAGCTCTCGCCTGGCCTGCGGTGCCCGCACTGGCAGAGGCTTTCGAATTTGAGATGTTTTTCAGATACTCAAAAAAGCCAAATACCCTCAAAAAAGTCACTCCCGACTCCCACAAAGACTCCATAGCCTCGAATACCCTCACACGCCCTCACGTACCCTGAGAAATACCCTTGACATGGGGATCTTTCGCAGGTCTCTCCTTCTCCAAGGCATCGCGGTGGTGTCGCATGAGGTCCGAATTGTGGTTGTGCGCCAGGATCGTGCGATGCAGGTCCTGGCGCATCCGATCTCGGCGCATCGACCCATCCGAGATTCGACCCCAAACTCGCCGGCATCGAAGCGACGGAATCCGCTCGACGGGATTCGCCTGCTTCAAGGCTTTCACCTCCGAGCCCCACTTCTGCTCCAGCTGCTTAATCTTCTGACCTACGGATTCTTTGTCCATGCGGAGGGTGCCCCTTCATATCCGTATGTATATATATATATAGTGTATAAGTTTGTGCATTTATCTGTCCTCTTCATATCCATGCGGAGGGTGCTCCTCTTTTGGTTGGATTGGTTTCAAGGGAAATTGATGTTCAAAAGGAGAAAAAAAGTATCATGCGTTGTTGGGGGGGTCCTGCTGTTGACACATGTTTGTGCAGTTGCAAACCTCGCCTCAGTCCGTGATTTGAGGCACTGGCTCAGAAAGGCCCGATCAACTGTCACAGAAGGATCTGGCGACCCAGTGCCTCTCGGGGAATCTCTGTCCATCGAACTCTTTTCAAAATCAAATCAGCGCTTTCCCCTTCTTCGCCTTCCCCGTTTCCCTGTCTTTTCCTCAAACCCCACTCACCCCTCCCTGTCCAAATCCCCTTTTCACCCCTCCGTTTCCTCTCCATCTGACCCATCTGACCCATCTGACCCTCTGACCGCCACGCAGGTCGCACCTGCCTGCGGAGTTGAAGCGCACACATCGAGCGACCCGATCGCCCAGCTCGCTAATGTGGCCCTGGCCGAGCGCCCCATTTGGGCGGCAAACTCCAAGCCGCCAACCGCCCACGGCAACTCTGAACCCGCGGCAAACCCGTCACTCCCACCAGTGGCCACTGGTCCCACCGGTGGCGGTCACTGGCGCCACTGATACCACTGGAACCCCAACCGGTCCCATCCTCCATCTGCTGCAGCTGGGTGCGAGCAACATTGAGCTCATGCCTCGCACCGTGTCGGGCTTGTAGCAAAGTGCGCGCAAAGGATGACCCTATGACCGTGTGCCTACAAACGCGACTCCAGCCGCGCCTCACTCGTGCTTCTGAGTCCTTTTTGGCCTGCAGAATCATCTGCTCCACCTGGGCCAAACTTGTCAAACACATGCGGAAGACTCGACCAATCCCCAAAGCAACGACCTGCTGGCCGATGGCCGATGCCACATCCCCATGTAGCGATGCGGACCTCGGCCCGGCGTGAGCGCAAGCAGTGTGGCTCGCGGCAGCGTGAGGCATCAGGCGACGTGGGCGTTTTCCAAACTGGGAGGGCCTAAAACGGGTGGCTTCCCTTTGCTCCTCCCTTTCAAGCCAACCAATATGCGGGTTGACCATGTTGAGGTCCATGTGCCATGTGAAGCACTCGTCAGCGCTTAGTGTCCGGCATCGCATCTGTTGCCCCCGGCGCCCCCGCCCCGTGACGAAGGGCCAAAGGGCCCTTTGTGCTAAATGGCCAGCCGTCCGGGCAAATGCTAAGCATCAAACGAGCAGTGCCCAAGCAAAGCCATTGACAGTTGGCCTACCATGGTCCACAAGACTTATGCAAGCCTACCCCGTGAAGCCTGGCAGTAGAACCTACTAAAACAGCCTGCAACGCCAGAAAATCAGTTCGGCCTACCCTCGAATCGAGCCTGCACGCCAGCTATCTGATCCAGGAGACTGGGCAAACCGTTCCTGCACATCAACTCATGGCACATCCATCAGGCTTCGAGAGCTGGACAGGCGATCCTGAGCGCCCGCAGCGCCGGCGGCAACGCCTGAGCCCGGCACCCACCCATCCAACCATCCGATCGAGCCTCTTGCGAATCGGGAGCCTCCATGTCGTCGTCCTCCGTCTCCTCAGTGCGCAACTCCGAACACTCCCACCACTCCCACCACGCCCACCACGCCCACCACACCCACCACGCCCACCACGCCCACCACACCCACCACCACGCCCACCACGCCCACCACGCCCACCACGCCCACCACGCCCACCACGCCCACCACGCCCACCACGCCCACCACGCCCACCACGCCCACCACGCCCACCACGCCCACCACGCCCACCACGCCCACCACGCCCACCATGCCCACCACGCCCACCACGCCCACCACGCCCACCATGCCCACCACGCCCACCACGCCCACCACGCCCACCACGCCCACCACGCCCACCACGCCCACCACGCCCACCACGCCCACCACGCCCACCACGCCCACCACGCCCACCACGCCCACCACGCCCACCACGCCCACCACGCCCACCACGCCCTCCGGTTGGCACTCCTCCTCCGGTTGGGTCGCATTGCCCCGAGGCACGACCACCGTGAGGTTGCCACTGCTGGAGTTGTACCTCACGGCTTCCAAGCCCAACCACATGCAATCACTCGCACGTCGGGCTCACGTGACCGACACGTGGCCCATGTCACTGTTCTTCGGCACGGAGAAGACCCGCTGAGCAAGTGCAGCAATCGCGCTCTGGACATCGCCAAACAAGCAGCAATCTTCGGCAAGCAGCAAATGTGGCTGTGGGTCAAAACCAATGGTACCATTTTGGGGTAGGTGCACTACCCATGTTAAGCTATTTTAGTGGTTGGATTGGGATGTTCACTGGGGGTACGAATTAAATTTTGACCCATGGCCATGTGGGAAAACCCGGGTGGAAGCAGAACGCCGACACTGTGCCGAGCCGTGCCAGGCGGCCTGCCACTGGCTGACAATGGGGCCCTGGTGGTGAAGGCCACTGATCACCAGTGACCTCACGGAGCTGACGGTTTGCACGGACAAAGAACCTTGCAGGCGGGTCTCGGCGTTTTTTGGAGGGTCTCAAGGAGAAACCACATGGAAACCATCACTTTTTGGGGTCCCACAATTTTGGCGCATACTCATGTAAACTAGTACAACTGGGGTGTCATGACTTGCAAAGGCAGAAAAAAACGCGAGAACAGGCCAGCACACTTGACAACAGGCCTGCCGACCGCCCGCACCGAGAGCGGCTTCTCGCTCTTCTTGCTGAGCTGGCGCGTTCGTGTCGGCTGGGCGCTAGTTGGGGGGTGTCCTTTTGTAGGGACCCTCCCAACATGCAACATTTCGGTGCTCCTTCAACTTAGAAACAAAATGTAAACAACTAATACCAAATGTAAATTTGACCTCCCTAAAATTGGGTGCCAACTCGAGTTCGCCTCGTAGCCGGGGAGCACCGCGGAGATCAGGACACCGGACTCGTCGTTGTGCACCTCCCAACATGGAAGCGGAAGTCCGCGTCGGGGATGCGAACCAACTTGGGTCCACGTCCTCTTCTTTTCAGGGTTTTGACGTTGGCTTGAAAGGGAAGCCGAAAAAAAAAATCGAGTCCAAGTCCCTTTCCCACCTTGGGAGAGCCAACGGGCCAACGGGCACCAACCCCGGGTGTCCGTTTCGGCTTCCCACGTACCGACGCACCCGGCGCGGGCCTCGAAGGAGCCCTGGGCGAGGCCGTGGTGCCCGGCGTGGTGATCCCCGAAGATGTCCAGCAGCCCACCCAGCTGCACCTCGAAACCGAGAGCTAAACCGAGGTGCGCAAATGGGCGGAAGTCTCAAACTCCGGGAACCAAAGAATGGCAAAAGGCCAGCTACGGGTAGCTAGCGGGTTAAGAAATGGAAGTCTGCTTGTTTCCCACCAAACTGGATTTCGGGGTACTCCCTAGACCCACCAGGGTACAACCACACAAAAACAAGGAACCTCGCCCAAATGGACCCTCAAAAACGAACCAAGGAGCAGCATCCGGCTGTGTGTTCTCCAAACAGAATGGGGGACCCTCTAACCGAGTGTGGTTGGACCACCAAAAATGGCTTCTGTTTTTTCAGATAAGGCAAATGCGAGAATGCTGAGATGAGTTCAGCCAATCGGAAGTTGTCTTCCAAAGCAAGAGTTTGGGATGCGAATTCTTGCAACGTGAGATGCGCGAGAGTCGGATGCAACTGCGAGTCTCAGGAATTCTGAACACACCCGACTTCGCAAATCCTTGGCATGTGCGAGCGACACATCACAACTCGACGCTTCGAAGTTCCGCAGCCTGCATGGGCCGCACCATCATGCCCGGACCTGCACCCTCGGCCTGACGCTCTGAATCCCTGAGCCTCCCTCTCTTCCCATCTACTCATTCCATCCGGACTCTCTCTTCCCATCGTCTCTCCAATAGTTTCTCCAACAGTCCCAGTCCCTTGGCCTGAGCTTTGAACACGCGCTCCACGTTCTTGTGCAGGTCCTGACGAGAGATGAGATGTCAATCGCCTCCACGTCTTAGCCTTCCGCTCCTCCCAGGGGTTGAAGCCACTGTGGTGCTCCACCACGATGACCTCGGAGTGCCGTTTTTTGTTGGGGTGTAAACCCCTTTGGAGGTCGTTTGTTTAACGAACACCAAACACCAAACGGCGTGTCGGACACCTAAGAGAGGATAGAGGATAACCCCCCCCCCCCAAACCCCCCCCCCACCCGACGTCTGATACGTGGGGGGGGGGGGCCCCCCCCCCCCCAGGAATTTGATGACGTTCCACTAAACGTAGTCTTCGGGGACCCGGTGTCGCAAAACAGGGGTCCCAGGCTCGATTCCCCCTGCCGGCTTTTTTGCTGGCTTGGGCTTCCTGCATCCTTTTGCCGAAAATCTGGAAAAACTCTGTGTTTTTGGACATCATCTTTGCGAAAACGCTGGAAAAACAGTGTTTTTTGCGGGAAATACTGGGGAGCAAAGGGGAAGTGCAAGGATACATACATACATACAGGTACATTACATACATACATACATCAGCATTACATACATACATACATACATACATACATTACATACATACATTACATACATACATTACATTACATACATTACATACATACATACATACATACATACATACATACATACATACATACATACATACATACATACATACATACATACATACATACATACATACATACATACATACATACATACATACATACATACATACATACATACATACATACATACATACATACATACATACATACATACATACATACATACATTACATACATACACATACATACATTACATACATACATACATACATACATACATACATACATACATACATACATACATTACATACATTACATACATACATTACATTACATACATTACATTACATTACATTACATACATTACATTACATTACATTACATTACATACATACATACATACATACATACATACATACATACATACATACATACATACATACATACATACATACATACATACATACATACATACATACATACATACATACATACATACATACATACATACATACATACATACATACATACATACATACATACATACACATACATACATACATACATACATACATACGAGAGAGGGAGATTGGGGAGAGAGTGGCTTGGGGGGATGGGGAGGATGGGGAGCGGAGGGAGGGAGGGAGGACGACAGAACACACCAGGGAGACAAGGGAGAGAGGAAGAAGGAGAAAAGGGAGAGGACAATGTCGGCGGACTGAGCCGGAGGCTCTAAAGTATATATACACATAAACATTTGTGCTACCCCCCACCCCCCATAGATCTACGTTTGGCTGTTTGAAGGCTATTTCGGAGATGGAAGGCAGTTGTTTTATTTGGAGTGCCCCATGCGACTTGACCAGCCTCAGCTCACTCTAAGCAAGGAACTTCTCTCCAAAATCTAATTTGGAATAACAATTCCAAATATGTGCTTTTGTTGCAAAAGAAATCCTATTTAACTTCTCTTCGAAGTCAGAAATTCTTCTAGACTTGGTTCCTTATTGGATTCCATGCAATTCCAAATAGAAAGTGGAGAAACAATTTCCCGGAAAGGACGTTCTCGGCAAAATATACTTTGAAGTAAGAATCCTAATTAACAATGATTTTCAAAATGGAAACCCTATTCGAATAATCGTTAAGTCTAAAATATATATTACGTGCTGTTCACTTCTACTGTTTATTTAAACTTTATTTGGAAAATTGAACAAACCATCTTGGAAAAAAACATCCATTTCATCAAATGTTAAATGAGAAGTTCAATCATTAAAAATCCGTCTCTTGGGAAGACCTATGTAAAGTATCTTTAAAACTAGAAATTATGATAGAATATGTCTTTAATAAGTTCTATTGACACTATGCCAAAAACTCAGCCCGTTTGAACATCTAGTTTCACACAAGGATGAATCTTGTTCGACCAGGAAATCGAAATTATCTTTAAACTAGAAAGCGTGAGAGAGAGAGAGAGAAGAAAAAAAAAAGGAGAAAAAAAAGAGCGAGGAGCAACCTACAGGACGCCGAGGCCTAGCCCTTGCTTCCCTCCCGGCATCCCAGGGTGACTTGTATCTGTTTGTTCCTTATTCAACTCCATTTCAATTCGAATTAGACAATTGAACAAACACAATCCTAGAATAAGATCCCTCTGTAAAATGATCTTTCAAGCATGTTGTGAGACAAGAATTCTAGTTGACTTGTTTTATTGTGTATCCTTATCGAACACTTTGAATTCCAAGCAAAAAAACAATAAAACACGGTGAGTTTATTTGAACACACTGAGTTTGTTTGAACAAACAGCATGGTTCCAAAGAAACTCCTTGAGCAAACATCTGCGACAAATACGTCTGACTCCTTCAAACGCGAGTCAATAAACCCAGACCCAAAATCCTACACCCTGAACCTGTCCATTCTAAGCCGAGGTTTGGTCAGAAGATGCAAAACAGCAGCTATGTTGGAGCCAATGGCACTTAAAAGAATAAAAAATGCAAATTATGGACCTAATAACCCAAAGGAAAAGTGTAAAGTGCTGGAGCCAATGACCCCAAAGTAAAACAAATAAAACAAATCTGGAGCCAATAACACACAAGTCTAAAGAGTAAGTTTCTGGAGCCAGAGACCCAAAAGTAACAAAACGGTAGATAAGTAACGGTACATTTCTGGAGCCCAAAGTACAAAAGTGAAAACAAAAAGTACAAGCAATACAAAAGGGGAAAAAGTACAAAAGTAAACAAGAGAAATACAAAATAAAAATAAAAAAATATAAAGAGAAGAAAACATGTAAAACAATTCAGCCCATGGTCCTGAAGTAAATTGCGTTGACCATAGACTGAAACAGTTTACTTTATTTAACTTATTTATTTATTTATATATATATATATTATACGTTGTGTTTTACTGTTTTTTGTTTTTTGTGTTTTTTTTAAAAGTTTTTTTCTGCTTTTCTTGATATTTTGTGTTTTATCTCTTTTATTTTTACTTTTGGGTCATTGGCTCCAGATTTTTACTTTTGTACTTGTTTACTTTTGGGTCATTCTTTACGCTAGGCCAATGGCTCCAACATAGCTGTTGTTTTGCATTTTCTGACAAAAGCTCAGAAAAGAAATAGGACAGAGGGTAGATTCAAACTGGATTCAACATTCCCCGGAAAAGATTGGCCTAAAGCTTTCAGATTGTCTTTGGACATGCGCCCTTTTTGCTGCTTTCCCCATGGCCCAAAAAAAAGACGACAACACTGCACATACCAATGATTTCCAAAGGAAGGTAGTTCCATGGGAAGGGGGTACCATATATATATATACACAGGTTGTTTTTTGGATTTTTTTGGTGGGTTGCTTTTTGTTGCTTTTGTTCCTCTTCTTTTCTTTTGGGGGGCGGGTGCTCCAAGAAAAAGAAAAAACACCGCGAGCTTCCCTGGGGCGCCGGCCGGCGCCCCTCCGAAGGCAAAGTGCGGAATACCCGGGGGAAACCCCGGCGGGAGGCCAGCGGAAGCATGTCCCGGGAAGCCCACGGCATGCCCGACCTGACGCGAATGGATCATGATCCATCATGCCATCTTCCAACAGAATATGCCGCGGCGAAAAACCGCAGTGAGGTTCGTGTTGTGTGTTTGTGTGTTTGTATCCTTTTGGAGGCTCAACCGGAAACCACGGACGCAGATCCGCGGAGCTTTCCAGCGCTTCCTTTCCCCGGCCTCTGGCTTGTCAAACGGCCAGCCAGCGACACGCCCTGAGTCGTGCGCCCGTCAACTTCGGCAACTGAGAAATTACGATTTCAGCCGAGTCTCCCAAGGAGAGCCAAGCCAGGCATGGCAAGCCCACAAACATCTGAATTTGCAAAATTGTTCCAGCTCCAATTCCAGTTGTCTGAGTCCCACTGGCCTGCTGCAACAGCCCAACAAGCCTTGCCTTCTTCTCTACATCACTAGCCGGATGACTGCAACGTGGCCTTGAATTTCACCTCAAAGCTGCATGCAAGTGCTCTGCACAAGGCTGGAATAGGAACCTTCACTGGGGCCCAATTGACCCAGCGGGCGCACGGACAAGCGGACGAGCGGACTGGCGTGCTGCCCGACGTGTCTAAGTGGGTGCCTGCTGGCGTTGGGCGCGTTTCAAAGGGCGGGATCTTCGGGTATGGTCCCCCACCACCCCCTTGCGCACAGCCCCTTGTGAGTTTAGGATTGCGCAATCTTGAATGGGTGAATTGGGATGGTTTGTGGGCATGCGGAGTGGTTGCGTTGGTAGAGCTTGCTGTCGTTTGGTTTGGGCGTAGTGGGCTGAGAATGGGGAGCTGAGGACGGAACCAAATATGTATATATATATATATACACTGTATATGCATCGTATATACATACAATGGTTCATGTAGCTGTGCTTGTGTGCGTGTCTGTCTACCTGCCTCTGTCCCTGCCTCCTTTCTGTCTGTGTTAGTCTATCGGTCTCTGTCTCTGTTAGTCTCTCCGTCCGTGCGTCCATCCGTCCATGCCTAGTGTATGCACATAGTTGTCTGCGCATCGATGTTGTACATGTTGCATGCGCGTGTTTGTTTTTGTGTGAGGGTGGTGGGACTTGTGCAAAGGTACCGCAAAGTGATCTTATTGCCCGATTTATTGGCGTATGTACATTGTACGGAAAGACCATGTGAATGTTAATATAGAAAGGACACGGATTAATAGTAAAGAAAGGTAAGGAATGGATAAGATAAGGTCCTGACGGTCAATGAAAGACAAGGAAGGAATCATCTCCATTCCACCTTTCCCCACCCTTTCTCACCTCTTAATCACATCCTAGATACAGAGGTGAAAGGGAGTTAGGTGTACACATAATGTCCTTCCTACATGATCCACGAGTTACAGGGAGTTGATAGGAAGGACAGGACATCTCTTTCTCCCCACTCATCCTCACTTCACTCGTCCATCGTGTGTCCAAGAGATGAGAGAGTGGGCCAGCCAATTAACCCTTTCTCATGCTCTGGCTCTAGGAATTAATGCCTTTGTGGAGCCAGGTCAAGGGTTAATGGGTGAGTGAATGACCATGAGAGATAGAGCGGAGGCGAGAGAGCGAAGGGACATCTCTCTTTCTCTTCCCCAATGCATTTCCTCGCATTTGGGGCTTCCCTTTCTCTTCTCTTCACTGTGGCTTGAGGAATCGAAAGGCAAGAGAAAAGAGAAGAGAATAAGGGATGGCCGGCTTCATTGTGAGTCTTGGGAAGCCGGAAGTCATGGATGTAGGAACGAGTGAAGCGAGAGACGGGTGAAGGAAAGAGACATCTCTTCGTCTCGCATCCTCGCCTATCATTGGTTGGGTCACAAGGCATTTCTATCAGACCCAACAAACCCATCCAAATGCTTCTCTGCAAGGCATTTGGCTTACCTTCATATCATGTCCAATGGATGAGTCAGGTGACAGCAAAGAGACTGAGGAAGCCAAAGGACATGACTTTATCCCTTTCCTCTCGTCTATTCTCACCCTTTATCACCTCCTCCCTACATCAGATTCTTGGAGGTGGGTGATAGGGTGAAAAGACGAGGAAAGGCCCGGCAGTTAGAGATCTTGATGAGCCGGGGAGAAAGGACAGTGGATAGCGAGTCTTCTCTCGCATGCATTCCTCTTCCCTTCACACTCTGTGCTCAGCCTTCTCTGGAATGCATTTGGAGCCTGCGGGAGATGAATGAAGTTGTAGACGAAAGAAGCGAACGAAGGCTGGCCCTTCCCACCTATCCACTTCCAAGCCTATCAATCATCAACAGTGGATAGGGAAGGGAATAGAGGAGAGTGAGAGGTGATGAGTTGGCTCCATTCCTTCCCGCTCATCTCTTCGCTCGTCACACCTCTAATTCACTCTCCGCTCCAGCCTGCGGGCGAGGTATCTCTTCCCTAAGGACTCACACACTTCACACACTTCTAAATCCTGGAAGTGATAGCCAGCGGCAGGAACGACCTTAAGGTGAGGAAATAGAGTCTCTTTATCCACTTCTTCCTTGTCCTTCCGTCCAATCCAGAATAGAGGATAATGATGGATGAGGAAACGAATAGAGGGACAGGAAGAGAAAAGAGATGATGCCAGACCTTACCTCCAACCATCCAATCCTCAGCCGTTGGCGGGTAGATGGTAAAGGGTTGGAGGAATGAACGAAGTGAAAGGGAGGTAAGGCATGAGAGCGAATGAAGGTGAGCGGATTCCTCTTCCTTCGTGCCTCTGGACTCGTCCTTCCACCAATGTAATTCCAGAGAAGAAAGAAGGTAAGAAAGGACTGTAGGCGGGCCGCCAATTCAAGGCTTTCCAGAGGTCTATCATTCATGCATTACATGGCTGGTCTAGTTCCTTCGTCACTTCATTCCTCATCAATTCCTGAGTCTTTGAGGTAATAGGAAATGGGATTCAAGGATAGACAGTTGTAACGACGAAGGCGAAGGAATGCATTTTTATATTTTTATTGTTATAGGTTTTGTAATGGAGTCACATTGACATTATTTACACGGCTACATCGCGTGTTCCAATCCTTGACTGTCATCTGGCATCCGACGCATCTTTTGAATCTGGTGATACTCAGCGGATCCGCGTCGCCTTCAGACCTTCAGACCTCTGACGCGAAGGACTGGGGCGAGGTGAAGCGAAGCAAGACGATGTTCCTCGATCAGCGATCCAAAAGCAACTTCTCCAATTGGCATTGCAGCTGAGCAGCACAACCGCCGACAGCACCAAGGAGACCAGGCAGGAACCAACCAGCACCCCGTTGCCCAACATCCAGTAGTTCAATTCCACCTGCATTCGCGTCGAACCGGGCGGGCCACGGGCTTGACCTGGGGCCTGCCCGACATGTCAACTCCCGCCTTTTCGGGATCAATCACCCACTGCACGAAGATGGGCTCTTTTGCAGATTTGAGGCCGTATGCGGCCTCTGCTTGCCTCACGGCCGAAGCATACCTCAGCTCATGTCCGCCAAATGCCAGAAGCTCGCGACTCATGAAATGGGTTTGATTTTGCAGCCCTGGGCCCATTGGCCTTGCTTGGGTTCTTCCTCCCCGTTGCATTGCATCGAAACCGTTTAGCCAACTGCAAGTAAGTCCGAGAAGGTTTTTTGGGGGCGCGTCAAAGCCGAGCGGCTGCTCGCGCCAGGCCCGGCGCACGCCGGCGTGGGCCTTGCCGTCCCAGGCATCGTCGCAGTCGAAGCGGCCGCCGCAGCAGTCGACGCCCGCGGCCCAGAACTGCACCGAGGCGTTCGCCTCTGAGTCGACGATGGGCGCCACGCAGAACGTGGAGCCGTCCTGTGAGGGCAAGGGCACTCTGGTCGTGTGATTTCTGCGGTCTTGGGCCCTTGGGAACCCCCGAAATCACAAAAAAAGAAAAAGAAAAAAATCGCATGAAAGATCAAAGCTCCGGTTCACCAAAATGCATACCAGGTGTCCTTGAATCCCATCCCTCGTGCGTAATCTATGCGTGCTTCTTCTGCAAAAACTAGCTTGCCAGCATCCAAATAGGTTGCTGCTGGTTCTGAGGGGAGCACATTGGCATAGGCATGGCTGTCATGGTACAGCCAGTAAACAGAATAGAAATTCCTGTAAGCGATGAGGCCCAAAGCAGAGGATGCCACAACTCCAGCCATGCAAGACATAGGCAGAATGCCGTGCCAGCGGTGTTCACGTTGAGCATCGTGTCGTGCATGCCATAGGCACACAGCCAGCAGGGCCAGGGCAATCAGCCACACGGACAGAGGCATGCCATGGTACGTTGACGCGAACAAATAACCTCAAAAGATCCCATGCCCGGCAGTTTGCTCCACGTGAGAAAGAGTGGGGCATGATCATTGCATGACTTTCTGCAAAGAATAACTAAATAACGAAACAAATCCAAAAGCCACTCACGCCAAGGGACTGATGAGAACCCCGACCAGCCAGGGCAGTGTTGTCAGAGTCGCCAACTCAAACGCACCCAGCTGGGCCCAGCCAGGCCCTTCGCGCCTGGCATGCAAGGAAGGCAAATCAAAGGCGAAGGCAAGGCGAGTCGTACATCCGGAAGTATGAAAAATTGTACATCCAAACTGCCAAACTCGTCCATTCGGAAGTATGTTTGTGCCCTGAAACGCACATTGCCGTTGCGGGACAAACTGATCTGAAACAGGCCGCGGCGGCCACGGCTTCATTGGAAAGGGCCCGTATGGCTATACGGACACTGAGCCATGGAGTCACGGCACACGAGTCATGCAAATGGCGGTGGTGCCAATTGTTCATTTTGCGCAAAGATCTGCGAACATGCAAATTCATGGAGACAAAAATGCGTGGCACCAACAAATGGGCACGTCGAGCAAGCGTCGACGTGACCATGGCCAAACAACGCTGTGACAAAAATGCTCACATCAGTTCATGTTCATACAAAACTTACATCATCAGACTCCCTTTCGTGTCATGCCATCAAGCCAGGATATCACAGCAAAACAACTCAGCAAAACTACGAACCCTCAATCACAAAACCCGGTCAGCATGACGCTGGGAAAGCAGAAAGTAAACGCTGATTGCAACAATGGACGACCTGCATGTCCCTGCGTCTATCATTGGACCACCATAACACCCCTGAGCGTGCCAGGGGAAGCAATGAAGAAGGCAAAACTGTAAAAAAAAAATGTGTACTTTTCCAGGCCCACCCGTCAACCAAATACCAAAAAAGGATCTTTGGTCTCGAGGTGAAGCGAGGCCATCAGCGGGAAGAGCTCGGGCAGCTGCTTGTGGGTGCAGGCCCTGAGGTCGTCGATCATGCTGGCCAGGCTCGTGGGGAAGACGTTCATGCTATCCACGAAGTGGAAGTCGTAGCCGCCTCCGTTGTGAAAGACCACTGGGATGGTCTTGGGCGTCTGGGCCGCGATGTTGCAGGAGTGGCACAGCGCCCCGAGATACCGCCCGGTGCTGTGGCAGTGGTGGAGTTTCTTCTCGGCGGTCTTGAAGGACGCGAGGCACTCCCTGCAGCGAGTGGCGGCCCTGTGCTCCAGCTCCTCCCGCCGAGTCATGCTGACGGGCCGAGTTCGGCGTCTCCAGGTGAGGTAGTGGTCGGCCAGCCTGAGAAGGTCGTCCAGCATGGCGCGGACGGCGTGGAACTTGTCGCTGTCCCGCTCGTGGTGCGTGAGCCTCAGCCTCAGCTCCTCGGGCGGCACGTAGCCGCAGCGCCCGACGGCGACGTAGCAGGAAGAAGCCGCGACGGTCTGGCGCGCTGGCTGCTGCTGCACTATGTGGACCGAGGGGCGGGCGTGCTGTAGACCTCGAGGTCCGCGTAGCACGTCAGGGGCGCGAGCTCTGCGGATTCTTCCCGTGCCCGGGCAGCGGCACTTTCCGAGCGCGCTCGGCTATCTCTCGATAGCACTGCTTGGCGCGGCGGCACTGCCACGAGGCCTTCAGGGTGAAGCGGGCCATGCACCTCGGGCACTTGTACTCCCTGCAGCCGCCTCTGTTGCTGGGCGTGGCTCCTGTCAAGAGACGGCAAGGTGACGTCCCGTGGGACGCTGTCCGCCGAACCCTCCAGCTGTAAATACCAACCACGTAGAAAGGTGTATACGGTCAAACCGTTATAGCCGAACCCGTGTAACTGTTGTAAGGGAGAAGGAATAATAGTTACAACGGTGGTCCTGACAAATGCAGCGCAAGCGAAGTGCCTTCCGCTCTCAATTGCCGATCACGTATGAACGCAGCTTCACATGAGATCTTGAACCTCACCTGTGACTTGAGCCAAAATGGCAATCAATGGAACCTTGTAAGCAACACAAACACGGACCTCAGAACTGCTTCCCAATTTAGGCACGGGGCCAGGAGGGTTTTAACATCCCCCATTTGGGTCGCATTGTTCGTCATGCGGCCCAAACACCACAAAACGTTCCACTGGCCACGGCTTCAGCTACGAAACTGTGTCGAACACTCTTGCATTCACTATTGCTACACCGTCCATTCATTGTGAAACTTGCCAGGTCCAATCAAGGCAGAAACATGCATCCACAAATCGTAGCACATTCCTATACTCAGATGCAAGAGACATTTTGCCTCTAGCCAATACGCAACCACTTGAAACCCCGGCTGCCGCATTTGCGCATCGCGCAGCCGTCATCCACAGAAATGGGTTGGCCATAGAAATCCATAGTAGCGCACGGTCATGAGCCATCTGAATATCATCGGCAAAGAAGATTTGGCGAGCAATACATGCAAAACATAGCCATTCCAGGTACCATGAATAATATATATATATATATGTATAATGAAAAGGAAATCATCCATGAGGTAATAGTTCCATCCTTGAATATCCGGAATGTCATAGTCGTCGGAATATGTTAATGCACACACATCCATTCATCTTGGACGCATGAAATCATATCATGATGTAGAGTCGTTCCATCGCAATGACATTGATGAGACGCAAGCAATACATGGGGACTAGCCCACATCGCGCCGCAATCAACATCGGAGTGAATATATGTATTGCTGTTGGTGGGCGCACCACACCACATAAGCAATAATAATCCACATCTGCATTACGCATACCTGTCCCCAATGGACAGTCTGTGGGTGCATCGACGGAACTCTTCGTCCAAATTCTTTTGGGCTTCTCGCGCCCGGACACACTTCTTGTGATGATCTTCTGGCATCCAATGCCCCATTCGGAGGCACCAATCCAGCAGAGGTGTGTCGCATTTATTCGGGTCAGTGGCTGCAATAATGGCGCTCACATTGACCGAATAACCATATCTGCCAAGGTTCAAGCCTTCCCTTACGAACGATGTATATTTACAGTTGAAAGCCAGGGAGAAGCATCTGTAAATGATATCACCCACCGGGCGCACGCGATCCTTGACCAGGAGCTTCATTTCGTCTTTGGTGATGTCGAGGATTCTCGCTGCAATCCACAGCTTGTAAAATATGTATAGCCCCTCGCACTTGCATACCATCAGACGAATGTATTCATTACGCTCCTCAGCCGACCGGAAGGCCCTTGTCCGAACATTCTGAGATTGGCTAATCTTCACTATTGTTGACGGCAACAGGATCCCTTCCTGATCGTGCTCAGTCATGTTGGGGTACTTCTCGAAGTCGTTGTGGTATGGGCAGCCTAGCTTCCCTTCGAGCGCGGCATCGATCGTTCTCTTTTCACCACCTTCGAACATCCCCCACATCTTTGACATCTGCAGCGCGATGAATCCCGCCATGTATTGCGCTTCGCGCGGCTCATCAAGGCAAAGCGCCATCCGCTGGGAATTAATGATATCCCGCGATGCCAAGTCATTGTCGCGGTATTGCCAACCACCATCTTCTTCCTCGGACATGTAGCCGGACGTGTATCCTTGCGTGTCCATGTCGTCTTCTTCAGGAACGTCCTCCGCCTCGTCATCCTCTTCCTGTGCTGCCGCACCATGGTTGGCTTCGTCTTGTGCGCGCCTGGCATCACCCGAAACATTGGGCCTTTGGTTGCCCCCATCGTCTTCGGAACTGATGTGGATGCAAAACCTCCCTGTAGAGATCAATTGCGCCCCACATTCCAGACACACACACAGAAGCATGTGGGAATTGCGGTCGCACATGACGGACATATCCGGCATCGTAGCCCTTCCCATGTCTCGTCATTCAGGATGACGACTTTGCTGATCTCGTCCCTGATCTCGTTGGTCTGCGCGTCAAACTCTTCCAGCTTGTTTTCCCGAAACAGTTTGCATGCACGATCAACCATGTCTTTGATGTAGTGCCGATTGTCGGCACCTGCCTCGGTCTCAGGCATCCTCTCGTTGATCTTCGCGACGTTCTGTAGGAACCTCGCAGCCGATTCCTGGGAGGAATCGACGAAACCCGGACAGATCTTGTTTTCCACACATTTGCCCTCGTACTCCAGGCATTTCCCTCCGTTGCTTTTGCCAATCCAAATGGACTTGATCTCATAGAACGGGATCACGTCAAAGACCATGAACGTCCCATTTGCCGCGACTCCAGCTCCATACCGTGCGAGGGTTGCACTGGGAATGTAGATGATCGCAATCGGATCCCCCGACCTTACGTTTCGTAGCGTCACCTTCGTTGCTACGTTCATCTTATCCCATGGAGCGAATGCTCCGAAGTGCAATGCTAGCCTGGTTCCGCCATCGATCCCGCCGGGGACTAGCCCACAGCGTACGATGCTCGGCAGGTTCTCCACATACGTCACATGGAATGCTCCTCCGAGAGAATCACCCATTCTTGAAAAATACCTATTTGCCAGTGCGGATGAGCTCATGAATCCAAAATCACTGTGACCAGTTGTGACTCGGATGCACCAAGGCCTGTACCATCCATCGCATCTGTTGAACATCCTGTCGATGTCATCCCGATCCAGGCCAGCATAGTTCATCTCCTCCCTGGCCGCCTTCATGTCATTCGGGTTCATGACGCTTGGAAACCTTGCTGCCAGGACCTGAAACCTTCATTTCTTGTGTCCGGACTCCTGCCACTTGATCACTTCCATGATGCCTATGTATCGTTTTGCTCTCGAAGTTGCAGGTGGGAATATGTCGTTATTCCGGTCGTCAATGACTGCGTCGATGTCGACCCATCCACCTTCATCGCATCTGAAAACACTTCCTCGGCAATTGCCGATTTTGTGTCGAAGAACTCTGCAGCTGGTTTGCTTGATCTCTCGTAGCAAATTCCGAGCGATCGTCGCCAATCTTGCATAGTGGAGCACCGTCAAAGGGAGCAACGCAGAAATTGACGCTCTTGCCAAGCTGCATCACATCCACCTGTTCAAGGATGGCACCCTTGGGAAAGTACACATCGCTCACGTCGCCGAACTTCGGGATGTAACACGGGATGGTGTCACACCCTCGCTCTAGCGTCGTCTTGAACGTTCTGTTGTCCCCGCACGGATTGTAGGTGAGGTCCACGCCACCGCTGTAGCTCTCCTCCCTCAGCCGTGTCAGCCATCTCCACCAGATTGATGGTATAGCTATACATTTCTACTGTCTCTTTCCCTTCTTGTCCTCCTTTCTTGCGTTTCTTGGACATCGATTGAATGCTCAAACTCCCTCTTGATCTTCCATGCATCTTTCCACAATGGAAGTTCGTGCTGAAAGTACGACATCACCTCAAAGAATCCCAATATCATCTCGACGACGTCTCCCAAGGATTCCTCATTCGTAGTCTGTCC